GCTACGGTGCTACTTCGTCCGCCGCGAACCTCACCCGTGTCTGACTGGGAATCGAATCCCGGTCGTTCACTCTGTATTTTAGTCACCATATGGACTGAGGTATTTCGGCTACATCATCAAAACGTATTTTTCGAACGTTGCTTTACTCAAGAATGTAAATCCGTGCAGGCTATTCACTAAATGACGTTATACCCTTAAGGGATGGTGCTACGGACAATAAACATGAAAATAAATAAATAATAATGATAAAATGGAGTAGGTATGTGATATTTCAGGTATATCGACGAGTATGAAGATGTCTGTCTTTCTTCTGTGATGTTATTGCTGTGTGGTATTGTTTAAACTGACATATTTCAAAAGAACCTACTGCCTCCATCATGAGGGCTATCGCCCCGACATCTTCAGAACATGCGTGTGATTGTGTCATTACGCTTGTCATATCAAGATTTTGTACAGTAAATTTCGACGTACTTCACGTAATGCACTACATAAGACGTTTGATTATTCAGCCCACTTTCTGCTTGCTTCAGATAATCAAATAGGTCTATGTTTTGCTGAACTGTATGTATTGGCTAACTGGCCCCTCCATTCAGGGGTTAAACAGGAGGGGTTGCACCTACTAACGACGAACTAAGTATATTGTGACATGTCAGTCACACATCAACTGCAGAATTTATCATTTCGTGCTGGTAGTTCATATGGCAAAACCCACTGAGAGAAGAAAATTACGAACTTCACATTGGAGCGCGATCCATATTTTGCGACATCTGGAGTCACGATCTACTTACATATAACACGGGAACATTGCAAAGGTCTGCTGAGAGACAGTCTTTCGCTGTATGCAAAGGTCCCCAGACCACCTACGAAACAAGCGCAGTTCCCAGACGTAAAACAAAACGTCGAATTTAAACTTAGTGTTACCTTCATCGTATTCTTCTTTTCTTTGACTTTCTGTCGCATTCCTTGCAGTCCCACGTCTTTCTCTCATTTGTTTCCATCAATTTTCAGAACAAAATCTTTTATTTTCCTTTGTACTTCTGAAAAGCATTTTCTAGATTCTTTTGTGTGCAATGCAACCAACCAAAGTAACAGATCAGAGGGAGATTTACTCTCATGCGTACGTAGAATAGACATATTTAAAATTCAATTTTCCATGACGACCACACTTCCGCTTACAGCACACAAAGAGAACTGGGTACAACTGTAAAATTCCTACATACTGTTCACATTCTTGAATACTATCAGTCTGAACAGAAACAAAGTAATACCTACATAAACTAAAGAATATGTAAAATTCAAAAATACATACCATAAATATTATAAGTAATGTCCACTTCTCTGCCGGTAGTAAGATAAATGTGAATGAAAGGTATTGTCTGGAAATTCAAGCAAGAACCTCAAGACCTGTTATGACTCACGCAGTACATACTTTCAGGAAACGCCCCGTCATTATTTTGTTGAAAAACTGCTGCTGTCTCCAATGGTTTCCTGAAAGCTACTATAGATATGGGCAAAGTACTTTGCGTGCTAGCAACCGTTTCGAGTGGCTCGTGAGTGTCAAGGCTGATGTCTTGTCTTGGCAACGTCTTGCTGAAAACATTTATCTCAGGTTTCAGTTGTGGACAGCAGATAAGTTGTGCAGCCGAGAATACAGTCAAACGAGGTGTGAATGACGAGTAGAATCATTATCAATTTCTCAAAATAATGACGTCAGGCACTGTAAGTTGTTTGCCCGTTTCTGCTGCAAAGACATGGCCATGTAAGAAACATGCATACGACAACAAGGACGTTGTCTCCGACAGACCAAACGCACGTGTCGGCCGGTATACGTTGCTCGTCGTATCGGTTTCTGACAAAGGAGATGGAGACGGTCTCTGAAATGACGAGGTCCTATTCTGCATTGTCGTTTCCAATTGCCTGAGACACCTCACTGCATTCGCTTGTGCTGAGTGTAGTTTATAGGTAGGTATCTGCAGATCCGGTTCAACCAGCTGAAGAAAACTTTTTCACGCAAAACGGACGCAATAACAAATGGAAGTACATAAATTTAAACCGTGTTGATTGACTGACTGATAAAAAATATGCGTAAACTGGGGAGTTTCTTCATTCGGAGTCGAAAGAGGTGAGACGAGAAACTGGAAAATTGGAAAGGATGGTCGAAACAGCTGTCGAGTATTTTTCTTATATTTTGTGATTAGAATTCTTAACACACAAACCCTGGTTCATCATCGGTAATTTCATCCAGCATGTCTTAAGTTTACTTATAGGGAAAATATTTATACGTAGATACCTGTTTTTGGCCATATATAGTTTCGAATTCCTATTTCGTGAGCGGAAATATTGTGGTGGATCGTCATGTGTCGAACAAATTAGGATGTGCAGCGATTGAAGAAATATTTCCGAACACTGGCATAGAGGACGGTTTTTTTCGATATTAACCATTTGAAGCCCAATGGTACATATATATATAACTTGCTTTAACATTCAGTTATTCTGTATTTTGTCCACAGTGTTTATTTACTGGTTTCATGTTTTCTCAGAGTAAATAGTGATTTTTTCCATTAAACAGCATAAACTAATTTATTTTTATATATATAACCGGGATGTGCTTTCTCTCAGTTTGGGACTGAGTCTTTAAATATTATTCAGATAAGCTTTGGGCTTCGAAGGGTTAGAACGACTTTATAATCACTGTGAGCCGTCCCACTACTTGCATACCGATTTGACGTGTTTAGGCTAAAATAACAACATAAGTCTCTACAACTTTTGAAAAGTTGAAGAAGGCTGTCTTCTGAGTAATCATTACACAAATTATGGCAACAAAGACCTTTGAAACGTCGGTGATCTTCTGCAGGACTACACTCGCCCCTATGAGAACCTGAAATATCATGAACGTAAGTTGCACTTAGATTGGCTGTTGGATCTAAGGATTTCACTGCAGCCTGATTTATGACTTTTTGTGAATGATGACCATAAATTGTAGGTTAATGAGTCCCTTGTAATCTGGATTAGTGAAATGTACAATTAATATCTTAATAGCAAGAATGAGTTCCAGGGCTGTATAAAATCCTGATCAGTAAAATCTTAACTATTCAAAGCAAGCCTCATAGACACAGAGAAAAATTGTTGTAACCTATCTGCGATATAAGAGGAATGCATTTGCATCCATTATTAGGTGTAAGTGTAGAACCTGATCGGTTTGGTCTATTCATTGAGCTAATTTCAATTCCGGGACTGAACAGTGATGTTGGTCGCTGTAGATAAATTTGCGAAGATGCGAACACGTATCAACTCCTAAAAATTGCAAATTTAATCTTATGGCCACAGAGCATCAATATTACTGTACTCTGTTAAAACCACAATCCATATCGATCGGAGGGCGGTCTAGACTAACAATCAATACCAGAAAAATATTTATAATAAAATTCAAAGACTTTTTTCCATTGTGGTTCCGCGGAACACAGTGTGAGGAACACTTGCTCTAGGAAATAAGGAGATGGATACAGTTTTCATTCTGTCGGTCAATTCAACGCGTTAGGAAACATGATCGTTTCGAATTCCGTAGATCCCATACCCGCCATTGCACCTGTTGCGTCTTGGTGCAGTGCAGGAGTAATAGCAGTTTCCGAGCAGACGTGTCGTCACCTCAACGTGCCCACACAATGGACTGCTGGGAAAAAAAGAAGGAAGTCGTGACCCGTAAAACTTTGCAGGTTCCAAATTTTGATATATGATTACGCGAGTCTTTTGTTTCGCTACATTGTATGTAACGTGTTGTTCAGAATATGAATTGCTTTAAAAGTGTGCGTGATAGTATTACGTATGATTTCATAAATGAGTTGCGTACTAGGCTACCAGTTCAATTTCACTTCGAGAAACACCTCCACCATGTTCTTTCCGTGCAGTCTTTGCCCGTGTTTCTTATCCGTCTTCAAAATGGCTGCCTGAAACATTCCCGAAGATGCAGTTCAAGATCCCGTAAGGAGTGGAGCTAAGTGGATTTCGACGGTGTCTGCCACCGGAGCCAAACAAATTAGACGTGTTCTGTAAAGGAATGCATTTTACTTGCGGACTACGAAAACGAGTCTCAACGAGTAAATGAAAACGTAATAGATTTTCACGTAAAAAAAACAGTATGGATAACAACGGCTAGTATGAAATGGCAACTGTGATGTTTGCCGAAACGTTGGTTAACACCAAATATCGACGCGGCTCTAGCTCGAAGGCCGAAGTTATTCTTTGAACTGGACAAGAGGAGGTCTGAGTACATTAACGCTAGCCAAATAAATGACGTATAATTTGTGGCATTGAAGGTACTCTGCATAGTACTGTTAGTTGTTATGGTACTGATATATTCGTTAATTGATTGCCTAGAAGAGAGGTGTCGAAACTGCTGCAAACATGTCTTGGCTCGCTGTATACTTTTATGAGGCCTGTCGTGAAATGATGTTCTGAAATAATGTATATGTTGGCTAGGCTTTATCTGCACTGTTTATGCTCCCACAGCATTTTCGTTCTTAATGAGGGAGGGGATTTAAATATAATTTTGTATTGCGAACCTGTACTAAAAAGTACCCATTTTATTATTTATGTAAACAAGAACTACTACTCTATTCTGTAGGTCCCAAGAAAGTATACTGTTTAAAACCCAGACCAACTCCAATTACGTTCTGCACCACAAGCATGAAATCAGAACCAGATCTGTCGCTGTGTAATAGATTCTCTCAGCCTATCCCGTGGCATTCGAATCAAGGTCACCCTTATTGCTAGGCCGCGACTCACTACAGTTGCGTATTCACGAGCAGAACGTGCGGTCATAATCGTGCTACTGTTCGTGAAGCATTTATTATTCCGTATGCTAACAAGGAAGTGCCGAATAAGAGAATACACCGGCTGGTCACAGAATTTCAAGATCCTGGGAGTGTTTGTCTGTGTCATGTGCAAGCCGAACGGCAGAACAGTTGAAATCACGGCCGTGGCGATTCAAAACAGTGTTTAAGGTTCAACAGTGGGAGAATTCAGCGTTGCCATTGGTTTCGTATTTTTTGTGCGTGAAGGGTTCGTGTGTAGTATTTAGGGCCACGTTTTAAATTTATCATTCTGTATTTAGATGTTTATATTCGTGTATTTCTTTGTTAGACTCTAGCCTTTATTTCTTTCTGCTTCCTTCGTTTATTTGTTTCTTACAAAGCGTTTTATTCTTTTATTCTTCTGTCTCGTTTATTCTTTTTTATTTATTTTCTACCTTTATTTTATCTTTTCTCTTGAAGGCAGCACAAACGTGCTTTTGCCCAGGTTTTAAAAAAATTCAGGTGAAGGCTGGAGTTGAACCTCTCAGCTTTCGATAATTTTACAGTATCCATGCTGAATTACTGTACAGTTTTTCTGCCTGACATTGACAGGTAGCTACTACGTCGTAGGTTACTTACGGTCGAATTTATTTCTAATGCAGAATGAGTAAAAGAATATTTTTAAATGCGAAATTATAGGAGATAATGCTAAAAGCACTCCTGACTAGTGTTTACAAGTCCTTCAATAAAAACTGAATTAGAAGTTTCTGTGCTCCTTGTGCCTTATATCCATTGAAGTACTGAATTTCTCTTGCTTTGCGTATCCCATTACAGTATCTAGCTGTGATGCTTTCATTAAGCATTCTCTGTCTGTCGCGTTTTCAAGGCATTGCAGTGTGGACAGTTGCATGGGAAGGAGACAACCCTTTTAGGCCCTCACACCTTCTGCCTTGTGAACAATCGAGTAGACACCGCGCCCAGGGCGTGGGTGATTACTGCACCAAAAGGGGCATCTTGTCTTTTTATACTTATTTCTCCGAAGGATATTATTTAAATTGTCATGTCTCTGCCGTGCTTACGCTCACGTTAAGTCTGTAACATTACGAGAGTAAGGATTCTAATGAAATTGTTTCTCTTTCAGGAGGAATTAGAACTATGCAGTTGCTTTTATTTTAGTACTGTACTTAAGAAGGTTTTATTATCGAAGGTGTTATCATTGTTTCAAGAACGGAAGCATAAATACTGTATTGTATACTGATATAGGGTTTGAAGTTGTTTTTAAAGTTTTCTGGCGATGGTGTATTACAATTTGGATTACTGAGGTATTGGACTTTATCCATCGTCTGGTATTCTAAAAACACACATTTCGAAAATTGGATGTAAATAAGACGCTCGATCAATCTTTGAATTTGAAAGAAGTCACGTGGCTGGAGAATACGTCTGTCCAATTTTCAGCCTACCGGTTGTCATAAAAGGGAATGAAGATAGTGTATGCTACTGTCTTCATAGATTGTGTGGTTTTTTACCAAATTGTACTTGTTCTTTTTGGCAGAGACATACAAACAAATTACTGAGATCGATTCTTGTCCTCTGTATGGAATCAGCGCAACGAAAGATTTTAAATAAGTAGACGTGAAGGAAACTTTGGATTGACAAAGGAGATACCTCTACTAACAC